ATTGGTTTCATCAAATATAAATAATTAATATCTACACTATAGCTGTCAGAGTTCAATACAATTAGCTTCTTAAAAACAGTGTTTATATACATGTACGTTTCCCACGTGCCATAAGTTTAATTTTTTCTACTATCACTAATACAGTAAAAATGAAAGAAATAATTACCCGAATAGAAAACCCACACGATTAACACGAATATGAGTTATACAGCCACTAAGTGAAAAGAAAAATAAACACTGGAAAACGTGAATAGGAAACTCGTGGGCACCTCGGCCTCTTTTATTAAGCTCGTTGCCCCAAGTCATCAACAATAGAATAGACAATATCATAAAAACTCATAAATTTTAATTGTTAATAGCTGAAAACATCTTAGTTAATAAACTCGGTCGAATTGTCGGTTGCTATTTTTTGTTAAACAAGTATTAGCATTTCCATCTATTTTAATTCAAGATGTTACAATTGTACTATCACCTTCTATAATTTTAATAAATATTACCAAGCTTTGAGCTTTAGTTTCAACTTGTTTTTAATATGCGCAAGTAAAATTATTTCGACAGCTCCATAGAGGAATTCTTTCAGTATTCAGAAGATATTTAAAAATATTTCGTCTTTTCTTCTTGAATATATGTAGTAACGATTTAAGAGAAAAACTTTATTTTATCAAATGAATAAATTACTTATTAAATATTGTATAGATTCATATTTAATAACCAGATAGAGACTTCTAGAGCTTGAAAGTTCATAAAAATCGTCTCCTTGATAATGTTAATATCTGAGTGCGTATATTTTGTTGATTACGTAGGAACTGTAATTTAATAGTCAATATTTTAAATAAAATAAGATTACTTACCACCCACCAAGGCCTCTTATCATCACGTTTACTCTTCCTTCGCTCTTTATCCCTCACACTACTCACACAACAGTTTTATCACAGGTTCAATGGCAAAAACTTGGCATTTAAAGTGCCTACTGCTATTCACAGCGAACGCAAGGCATCATGACAGACAATAATAATAATAATAATTTCTAGATTCGCCGACCATATGCAAGGTTGATTCTGAATATTGATGTTAATTATCTTAGGTGTCGTGCGTTTTTCTTGGGTCAAGGGTTCACGGTTTATGTATTCTGAGTATGTAACTAACGTTATCAAAATCAAGATATTCAGTAAAAACTTTTTTAAAATTAAGTTATTTTTCAGGGAGATTTATATTATACGTAAACACCGTGAGCCCGACAGATTGATCCAAAAATATCCTTATTTAAAAAAATATTGAATATCGCCCAACTACGGCTTATAAACTTATAAACATAACACACGAAAGTTAGAGACTGTGTTAAAATCAATCATCATCACTAACTTAAGCCGGACACAAAAGGCAAAAGAACAAAATATAAGCAACGTGTTTTGTTTACAACGTGAATATTCAGTTAAGGTTATACACATACAACTACTACAAATGTCCTCGTCAATTATTCTCAAGGATATGGAACAAATCAAAAGGGATTATTTAACGGTGGGATCATTGAATGATAAAATTCAAACACCCATATGATTGTGTACTGAGAAGTAGAAAATTCTTTTATACTTAATGTAAACATTGTGTGATTTTTAAAGATAACAAACCAATTTCTTTATTAAACAGTACCAAATTATAAAGCATAAACCTTAAACTAAAAATTGTTCTTAATGATTGATAAAATAAGAATTTAAAGTTTAAAAATTTTTTTTTATATTATTTGCATTTAATTTGTATCTAGTGATTCACGATAAAAAAAAAAAAAGCTAAAAATTTGTCTTAAGAAGAAAAAGAGGAACAAATTCAGAAACTACTTTGCTAGCTAAGAATACATATTAGAAAACTATTTGGATAATGATATTAGTCATATATTTTTTTAAATTATGCCTAATACATTGAATGATGGCTCATAATTGACCAATTATTTATAGCTGCGTTTACTTGTGGAGTCACACAGTAAAACTAAAACCTACGCGAGTGGACAACGTTATTCCAACTAACGGAGTAAAGGAAATAAACCGGAAACCATAGGACAAAAAGTATAACAAATTATTTTTGATATATGAACAAAATGTGATCAAACTTCCATTATCAAAATACATATTTTTACCCTAAAGCTGTAATTCAATTTTTATGTCTCAATATTACAGTCTACTGAGATGACATATTCCATATAAAATAATTTATTTGGGCACTACGAAAGTTTTGTTAAAATATAAAAATAAACTATTTGACATAGTATTTACAGAGATTGCTACCATTGTCAGTGTTTCATTGTATGTTTCAAACCTGAAAATGAGAACCACTGAGATTTATTGTTACTTAAGGGTAAGATCATTTGAAGGGTGCGACAGCCCAGTCGAAACTCTAAAGGTCGTTAACCAAAACTCTAACAACGAAAAACAGGTAGACTATTGAAAATTCTTCGTTTTGAACAGTATGCATGAGTTTTTAAGATATTAACAGATTATTCAGCATCAGAAAAAACTACAACCTATCAAAAATTTTATAAAAAAAAATCGTGGTAATAACATTTAATACGATACTGAAATATAATTAGAGTGTGGTGAAATGGGTTTTACGCAAATATGTATTGCCAGAAAAAATCATAATAATAACTATAATGTAACAGTCGCTAATTGAGTCAGGGGTTAGATCCTTTTTACCTTATAATACTTAAAAATAATATAACACTTTCTAATGTTCCAACATTAGTATTAGTAATATTATTTAATTTTTCAATATTCCAATTAAAATGTATTACATATGCATTAAATAATATTTGAAATATACGACAAGAGTACTACATTGCAGGTATAGAAAAATGATTTCCAATCATACCAAATTAAAATCAATTATACATTCAAATAGATCAAAAATAATATATAAATTACTAGTTTTATTGATCTAAAATTATGGAACAATGCACACAAATTCATGAGACGTACAAAAAATATATATATATTATTGTATCAACAGCAATCTTAATAATACCTCGTAAATAAATTCAGAGGTTATCAAGGCCTATCATAAAATTATTTGTATACGTGTTCAATATGTCATGTTCCAAGAAATGACAACAGTAGCAGATTATATGATTATTTTCACCGGTAACTATAACAGATACCTCGTTCCCTTTCTACAAATGGAAAATATATAATAGAAGCGAATCCCCTTTGGAGTTATTTGTGCAATTATTATGTATAAGAAGGTATGGAAATAATTTGTAAACAACACGACACGATATTTAATTAGTAAGATAACTCGGTTATTTTTAGCAGTTTGTTAATTATATTATAAACCATTTATTACTAATTTACTGTAATCGAGAACCGGATAACTTAGTCATATAAAATAATGCCTACGGTTTACATTATAACAATCGTAGAAATTATATATTATATGGTCACATCCAACAAAACTGTAGACTAAGTAAAATAAATGGTGACATATATTTTGTAAAATAAGCGCATTACGTAGAAATATCGTGAGTTATGATACGAACAGAAGTATTACACCGAATTTGTTATTGAAATAGTAACTAAAAAAAAATTGACAACTCCGCAAAATTTTACACAACTGATTTCTGCTGAACTATTTAAATTTCGATGTAAGACTCGCAATTAGTACTAAAAAGAAATATTTTTGTAGTAATAACATGCTAACGAAGTTTCATAGCAAAAAAATCAGTTTTAATATTTAACACTAACTCGCTAACATGATCAGTTTTTAAAGCTTTCCGATAACATTTATTATTAGCAATAAAAAAAAATTATAATAATAATAAACAAACAAACATTTGAAATTTAGTCCATCGATCTTCTATAATAATAATGGAAAACCCTAACGAGTGAGCTATCAGTATTTGAGTTGTAACGATGATAATTGCTGTGTCAGAAGCCGGTGAATTTTAAATTTAGATCGGTTTTTTGTTCGACCATGACAACATTTAATCCAGTGATGAGCTGACGCATTAGACTAAGATAATGTTTTGACTCAACATAAAGAATTACTATAGATAGATTATTTGCAACATAAAGAACAAATGTAACTTTTGATAAAAAAAAACATGTATTAAAGTTTTCCCAATAATACACAAATAGGTACAATATTTCACATTTAGATTATTTAAATTTTGATAAATAATTAGTATATTACGCTGATAAAATTTGATAATATATGTATTTATGAAATGGTTTTAAAGGGATAACAAAAAAATATATATATATATTTTGCAATTAACTATTGTGGAAAAACTAAATATGTTGGTAACATGATTTAAATTTCTCCATAGAAAAGAACTTTTCTTCTTCCAAGAATACTTAAATTATGTTAATGACAAATAGTTTTTATTTTGTGATTTGATAATAGAATTTCCTTTCTTGAAAATTTGGCACTAATAGACCTCCAAGCCTCAAGTACATTATATATGCACTTACCTAGTTTTATAGCGGGGGCGCTATAAAACTTAAAAAGCAAAAAAATGGTCTCTTTACTAAAAAAATATAAAGAGGGACAGTATTAGATTCCACAATATCTCTAGCACCCTCACTGTTATTAATCCATTAAAAAATAATCAACAAGCCTTTTAGTTTATTAGCTAAAATTGACAAATCACTAATTTGGCAATTCAATTTTGATAATCCATTTATCATAAAATTAATAATGATTTTTTATTTAATATCAGTAAAATCCAATTTCTCACAATCTTAGTATGTAAAATTATGATTTCATCAATCGATCTATTAAGAGTTGACATTGACTACTAGGTGCATATATGTAGATGTAAAAAAATATATATTATTGTAACGCACGATAAGATGTAAGGCCAAGAATCGTTAAGAAGCGTTTTTAAGCGGGGCGATACACCGAGGCCATATAAAATAAAGGTCAAACACGGCCGGAGGACTGGAGACTTCCGCAGGAAGCAAAATAAAATTTATTTAAATTAGACCAAAAAAAAAATTAACAGTACTCACATCTTCGGTGACTGTACGCGGAAGATGTTTGAGCTGGAGTTGTCGGTTCCGGTGGAACTTTGTCTTGGCGTCATGTACTTTGCGTTTAATTTCCTCTTCGGGTTCTTCTGCCCAGAATCTTTCGGTGGATGCAGTGGCCTGGAGCACTTGATGCGCGCCTGAGCCCAATACCACGCTTCCGCCATGACCCGCCGAACCGACCATGTTCCAATAGGATTTTGGATCGTCCAGTTTGCTGTAGTCAAAACGTGGATGATGTCCTTCGACCGCAAAAATCGACTTGGCCGTTTCCGTTGTCATTATGAAATTCTCGCCAGAGATATAATATGAAATAAGTTAAGAAGGCGCACTCCGACACGCTCTAACGGTTTTTTTTTTAAATAAATAAAAACAAAGAAGAGAACCCTAACGTTGTATTACATTGAATCATACAACATATTAATAGGATTGTCAAAAACAAATCTATTGCGCGTTTGTTAATGAGTAGCAGAACGTCAGTTTTGATTAAGAAAATTATGTTAATTAAATTAATTTATTTAAATTTTGTTATTACGGTACGAAACGACAACACTCGCGGGCGCCGGGACCGATGACAATGAAATAACGACAACGACGCGCCGTAAAGAGCGCATAACGCACGCACGCACATGCGCCTCACCGGCTTATTCGACGCGCGCATACCGATCGCACATGTTCTCATCTTTAGTAGTTCTACCTCTGATTTTAAAAACATGTTTAGATAAGCGACACAAAGTAAAATTCTCGTCTATAAAACTATGTATATTGTGAAAATAAAATTTTAGCGTATGATCAGCCAATTTTAATTAATTTATAACAACGATTTCCTCTAATAATTAAATTGATATCACTAGTATTCTTCTTTTTTTATAAATTATTATTGAATTATGAAACAGTAAAAGACACCTATGTTGCGAGTTCCCTAATCTTAGATTTTCCTAGATTTTTTTTTTCTTACATCCTGGTTCTAGAGCTATAATCTTTTGCTTCTTAATGTAAGCCCGAAAATTCTTCTATTTACTCTTTATCATAAACGAATAAATTAATTGATAAAAAAATTTATATTAACCAAAGAGTTGGTTTAATTAACAATAAAACATATTTTCTTTGATGAGTATGTAATGCATATTCTACAATTTGTTTGAAGACAAAAAGTCTTCGATGGCAAAAAATCAACGTGTAGGTAGTATTATACAAAGATAATACATCAATCTTGCAACTACTAGGACAAACGTATAATATCTGGAAAGAAATTGTGAATTTAACTATACATGATGTATTTATTTTTCATTGAATAATAAATCTAGTATTACATTGTATGAATTGCACTTTTAAGGAAAAAAGTTAATGTATATTTTATACCCTAAATCTTTTAATTATTTGTATAATTATTTCAATTATACAAAACTGAGCATATTGCTGTACACGCATTTTTGTGTTATTATAGTCAATGTGTCATAAATAAGGGAATATAAAGAATGTGGCTGCACAAGGGCTCTAGACATTCTCAATTTCCCGTAATATTGATTTTTTTTTACGTTTCAACTGAATTGGAAAGGAAGCTTATAACATATGTCTTCCTGAAAACAATAACATTCTTCTTAAACTTAATTTAAGTACGTTTTAACATATTTACTGCTTATTTTTGATATATTATGATACAATGTTAAAATTATATTTTTTCATGTATTTTCTTAAAAAGCCCGCCTTTTCAATTTATGTAGTTTATGTGGAAATGATAAAAATTATGTGGGGACACGACTCTATAGATAGTAATATGACTACATTCGCACTATTCAACTACAAAAATCAATTTGTAAAACTTTCTTCTTGTTTTACTTAACTTTTATTAATCTATATCCTTTTTAATACTAGTTAACGCTTTTCTAGTCAAACTCTTATTTAATAAATTGTTAATCAAACATGTAAGTTTTTTTAATATCCTTGTTTAATGAATGGTTATACATTTACTCGTTTATATATGAGATATTTCCTCAATAACATAGTTTTCATTATTACTTCATTAAAAAACATTTTTTGTTAAAAATGAATATTATAGTGAATATTTTTAAGTATTTTGCTATTTGTTTTTTCTTTTAAAAAGAAAAACTTATGATTGTAGTTTTATAGTAGTCATCACAATTATTAAGTATTTTAATAGTAAAGATTTTCATTTAGATTTGTCAAAAATATTGATTTTAGATGAATAATTATAATGGTCAATCTACTAGATTATGCTGTACATTTAATAATATGCTATCCACAAAGTAATTATTGATGAGAGTAACTAAAATATGTTTTCTAAATTACTATTTGTAAAAGTAATATTAATTACAATATAATAAAAATGTTAGTAACTAAAAAACTTTCAATAATATTTGTAGCAATTTATTATTTAGATGGTGATTTTATTAATCCTATACAAATGAATTTTATTTAATCATTAATTTATTAACAATATGAATATAGTATATCTGTATGAAACTGTTTCTCATACGGAAATCAAATTGATGTTTTAACTACATAGATAGACACCCAATTCAATTCTAATGGATATAAGCCTCCTTGTTAGCTCTACTAGAAATAAAGCATTATTCCAAATAGTAAATGCTATTTATTTCAAATATAAGTATTTATAATTAATGTTATTTATTCTACTTTAATTTTAAAATTGTAGAATATTCAACTAATAATGGTGAAACATAGTATAGTGATACTCCTCTGGGATGGATTGAGGTGCTAAGAATTATTCTAGTACCCTCTACACAATTCAATATCTGTATTTAAAGTATTCTAGTCCTAAAAGTATCAAGTGAAAATGACTGAAGTAACTTTTGTTACAAATCATTTTTTTCTTTTGTACATTCATTATTTAATAAATCTGCAACTAAAATTTTCAGATTAACTAATCTGTTAATTAACTTGTCTACAATGTTGTATATATCGGGAAGCTTATGCCCTTACCATTGACCATGCAATGCTGATACAAACAAATTTTGACCACCTTTTGATTTTTAACTCGTAATTAATTTAAAATAAATAAAAAAAATTCATTGTAACTTGTCAACAAAAAATTTGATTTATGCTCGTTTCTCAATTATAAATTTCTTATAACTTTTGTACATTGATTTTCTATTTCATATCTACAATTTTGCTAAATTAAAATAGTCAATTTATCTTAATAATTGTCCTCGAATATAACCATATTGCACTACACATTTTCATCCTATTCATTTATAGAATTTATGGATATTTTTTAATAGTTTCTAAGTAATTTAGTAATTTTACATTGTGAATTTTTTTAACAAAAATTTAAAAAAAATTAACATTTTGAGGAAATAGTAGACTTAAGGGTGAACTATTTTATAAATTCAAAAGACCTTTTTATGTTCCCAATTAGATAAATTATACCTATATAAACTTAAGATAAAATAGTTATTTTTCTATAAAAAACATGTATTATTTTTTGTATTTGGACTAAACAAATTTATTAATATAATTTAGTTCGTTTTTAAGATTTAAGCCATAAAAGCTAGAGACTCTAACCAAACCATTATAAAGTACAATATTTGTATGCTTTTAAGGAATCTTAAATGTAATTTTAAATGATATAGGAGATTGTGTCAAGCAGAAGTTTAAGATAAGGGTGGCCGACCTCAAGTAGTTGGGATTAAGGTGAAGAAAAATACGAAGAAGAAGTTTAATATAATTTTAAATATAGAACTAAACTTATACTATATGTTCAGTTTTCTATAAAGCTCATAATACTTATTCCTCATTAATTTTTTCATTAGTCAAAGCTTCAATTGCCTAACTAGTTTATGTTTTTATGTATTAGTTATTTGTTATATTATAACTATTCAGTTTTATAATAATTATAAAACTTACTAACAGTAAATAGAGGGATGTTGTGTTCAAGTCGATAACGGGCAGCTTTATTTGCCTGGTGTGAGTAAAGTTTGGTAATTTGAGTCACCATTTTTCTCTTCCACGTTGGACTAACCACCTATCTCGGTGTATCAATGGTTAAGAAACCTCCTCCTTTTGGGTGGCTGCCACAGCCCTTATGTGCTATTTATTTTATACTTGCAAATAAATTATTGTAAAAATTTGTAATTTCAGAGTTACATATTGTTACATATTTATGAAATTGTTTAAGAAAGAATTTGAATAATGGCTTCAACTCTTAAAAAAAAGCGTTCTGAAGATTCTTTAATGTCTAACACTAATCCTCGAAAACGCAGACGAGACAATAGTGTACAAGGTTAATATTCTACTTATAAATTCTTCTGAAATTATTAAATAATTTTTTTTTAAATATAATTCAAGACTAAATTAAATTTTAATTGAATATAAAGGAAAAATTAAAAAATCTTCATTTCAATATCATAAATTTAAGATGAAAAATGAGCAACTTAATAATTTTAAATAAATCTCAATTTTTATTAATATCTTCAAATTAAAATTAAATGGTAAAACTTTTAGATAATTTTCAAGTTAATGAATATATTACTATATTTTTTAGATTCAACATTATCATTACCTGTTTATGATTATCATGATGACAGTGATTTTGATGAAGCATTCAGAAACCTTTTACGCCCTGTTGAGATAATTGCTAAATCTAATCCCTACGACTATAATTTACTTAAAGTAATGATGGACTATAATTAAAACCAAATATATATCAATAATATTATTATTTGTTAAAATATGATATATTAATAGTTATACAGAGTGTTTTAATTAGCATTACCTCTTTTAATATGTAAGGTAGGTCCGGATAATAAGACTTAACTTGTATAAGGTTTAGCTAGGCCAACCTTATACAGAGTGTTTAGTAAGTAAACAATGAGAACAATAAAAACCTGTTTCCATACTTACTGAGCATTCTATATACACGAATGTTTATATTAAGTTCACTTCTTTTAATTTATTGGAATCTACATTTAAAATTATATTTTTGTGTTATGATAAGTATCTATTAAGTTTTTTAAAATACTTTTTAATAAGTGATATATCTAAATTATTTTGAAACTCAAATTAGTGTTAGAGTATATATTATATTCTGTAATCTAACTTATTTAATCCAAAAGTTGCATTTAAATTTTTGGTATATTGTACCATTAATATCAAAAATCATATTACAGAGTAAATAACAAAGATATGACTTTTTATACAATAATCATTTTGCTGTAATTTCTTATTTAATAATTTATGCATTCTTTGATTATTTAAAATAATTTTTTTTTTTATTATTTGTTTTAAATAATAAAAATAAAAATATATAATAAATATAATAATTAAATAATAAAAAAATTTTAGAAATTTAAATATAGCTATATTTACCCCTTTACTTATAAACATTTTGAATGTTGATAATAATTTTGTTAAAAAAAAAAATAATCATATACAAGTTGTTTGATAATGTTGTCAAATTATTATTGAATTTAAACTAAATGTTCATGGTTAGAGGCATAAAGATATTTTTTTATTTACTAAGAAATATTAATATTCTATTCACCAACTCCCCCAAATTTAAAAAAATGCAGACTACCTCACTTGTGATTTATTTTTACTAATATATTTTAAATAAGTAGAACATACATTTTTATTGAATTATTATTTACTGTTGACAAATTGTAAAAAATAAAAATGTTATAGGAGGTTTTAGATAAAAAATTAATTCTAACACAGTAAATGGATCTACTAGAAAAAATTCCAATTTTCCGATAGGCTTATCCACCTATGCTTATAGAAAAGATATTGACTGTTTGTAGGCTAATTGACGTACAATATTTTACCAAAACTGTCAAGTTTAGATAATTTAATATATCTTTAAGTTATATTCATGGTTTTATGAAAAAAAATAAGTTGATGAAAATNTAAAAATCTTCATTTCAATATCATAAATTTAAGATGAAAAATGAGCAACTTAATAATTTTAAATAAATCTCAATTTTTATTAATATCTTCAAATTAAAATTAAATGGTAAAACTTTTAGATAATTTTCAAGTTAATGAATATATTACTATATTTTTTAGATTCAACATTATCATTACCTGTTTATGATTATCATGATGACAGTGATTTTGATGAAGCATTCAGAAACCTTTTACGCCCTGTTGAGATAATTGCTAAATCTAATCCCTACGACTATAATTTACTTAAAGTAATGATGGACTATAATTAAAACCAAATATATATCAATAATATTATTATTTGTTAAAATATGATATATTAATAGTTATACAGAGTGTTTTAATTAGCATTACCTCTTTTAATATGTAAGGTAGGTCCGGATAATAAGACTTAACTTGTATAAGGTTTAGCTAGGCCAACCTTATACAGAGTGTTTAGTAAGTAAACAATGAGAACAATAAAAACCTGTTTCCATACTTACTGAGCATTCTATATACACGAATGTTTATATTAAGTGCACTTCTTTTAATTTATTGGAATCTACATTTAAAATTATATTTTTGTGTTATGATAAGTATCTATTAAGTTTTTTAAAATACTTTTTAATAAGTGATATATCTAAATTATTTTGAAACTCAAATTAGTGTTAGAGTATATATTATATTCTGTAATCTAACTTATTTAATCCAAAAGTTGCATTTAAATTTTTGGTATATTGTACCATTAATATCAAAAATCATATTACAGAGTAAATAACAAAGATATGACTTTTTATACAATAATCATTTTGCTGTAATTTCTTATTTAATAATTTATGCATTCTTTGATTATTTAAAATAATTTTTTTTTTTATTATTTGTTTTAAATAATAAAAATAAAAATATATAATAAATATAATAATTAAATAATAAAAAAATTTTAGAAATTTAAATATAGCTATATTTACCCCTTTACTTATAAACATTTTGAATGTTGATAATAATTTTGTTAAAAAAAAAAATAATCATATACAAGTTGTTTGATAATGTTGTCAAATTATTATTGAATTTAAACTAAATGTTCATGGTTAGAGGCATAAAGATATTTTTTTATTTACTAAGAAATATTAATATTCTATTCACCAACTCCCCCAAATTTAAAAAAATGCAGACTACCTCACTTGTGATTTATTTTTACTAATATATTTTAAATAAGTAGAACATACATTTTTATTGAATTATTATTTACTGTTGACAAATTGTAAAAAATAAAAATGTTATAGGAGGTTTTAGATAAAAAATTAATTCTAACACAGTAAATGGATCTACTAGAAAAAATTCCAATTTTCCGATAGGCTTATCCACCTATGCTTATAGAAAAGATATTGACTGTTTGTAGGCTAATTGACGTACAATATTTTACCAAAACTGTCAAGTTTAGATAATTTAATATATCTTTAAGTTATATTCATGGTTTTATGAAAAAAAATAAGTTGATGAAAATTTTGCTTGTGCCAAACAGTTGATATGTTATGGAACATGTGAAATATCTTCTAAAGTAAATGATAAACTTATATGTCCATAAAATCAATTTAGAATTTTTTGTTATTAGAACTAGTTAAACTAATAAATAAATTATGGTTTTAAATTATTTTTCAGGAATTAGATTCATATTTAACGTATCTAAAAAGATTACAAAGAGAAGAATACATTAACTTTATTGAAGCTGCCATGATGTTACAAAATGTTATGTTAATTTATCAAAAAAGGGTCGATCTTGTTGTTGATTTTATGATGAAACTCATTGGAAAATTTCGCGCTTAGTAAATTAATAATGTTTAAGTTAAAAATATAAAAAAATAATTCAAGTTCTAAAAAAAAAATAATTTTTTTAGTAGAGTTCATCAAAATAATGGGTATAATGGTGATATTGAAGCAGAACATGTTGAATGCAATAAAAAAAGAAGAAATGAAAAAAGAATAAAATATTATACATCCTTTGAACCTATAAAAGAACAAGTTTTTGGAATCTGTATGTTAATTATATAGCATTTTGGTGATGTACTCAGAAAATTTAAAAGGGGAGGGGTTCACAAATAAAAGTTATTATAATATATGATTGATCTATAATTAAGAGGTAAAAAAAATATTTGTTTTAAAACAAAGTTTCTGGATCCAACACCTCCTCTTTAGGATGGTATAACCATTTCATTTTAAAACAAAATTTTATTTTATTGTTATTTCTATAATTAGTAAGGAATTATGACTGTAAAATTATCAACTTGAAAAAATTACCATGTATTCCTAAATTAGTGGCTAATGCCAATATAAAGGTAAACAACAAACTCAATGAAATTTTACCTTATATACCAGTTAAAAACAGTGAAAATATTGGAAAAAAATATAATTATTCGTAAGTAGTAAATATTTATTGCATTTATTAATTTAGAATTATTAACTAATTTAAGTAATAATTATATTATTATTATTAGGCTAAATAACCACTTGTCTCGTGATCTAGTAGCAAATTTTGAATATGATTGCCATAATATTGATAAAACAGAAAATATTATTCCGTTAAACTCAGTAAGATAAATTTCTAATAAATTTAGTTAATAAAAAAATAATAATTACTTAGGCTGAGGAGTTGTAGTATTTTTACATTTGTTATACTATAGAAACTTATCAGTTAAATTTTTTTTCTTTAAATAAAATTAAAATTATTTATTAAATTATCAGACTTTTTTTTTTTGTGTGTGTTGTTGAATTTACCATTTATAAATTTTGCTTGTATTTATAAATAAAATCAAAATGGGTTTGTATAAGTTGCTCATAAAAAAATTTAAAATTCTAGAAATTTTGAGCACTACTGATAACTAACTTATTATTTATTTAGCTGTCAATAAATCAAATAGATAGAGATTCAATTGCTCCAAATGAACATCTTCCACCTGAACACCACCGTGGTACTGTTTTATCTGATGAAACTATTCATGAGTTTTTTGTTCCTAATGCAATAACAACTACAAAGTACATGAACATTTAACAAAAATCATATTTATTATTAATATTTTGTAACCTTTTAAATCAATTAAGCTCGCAAAATGTTTTGAATGTTAGTCAAATACCAGAAAACAATATTGATGCATGGATTACAGTTCATGATTCCAAATCAGATATTTATTTAGACAGACCTATTTCAAAAAAAAAAAAATTAAAAGAGTTGGTAAGTAAATTGTTTAAAATTGAAGCATATTTTTAATAGATAAATTGATTTGGATTAAATGAATTAATTTTTATAGTTTATAGATTAAAATGTAATTATATGTTTATGAACTATTACAAAAAGCATTTTTATACTTATATAACAAGTGCTTTGTTATATTAAAAAAATATATATGATTGTTATCTAATTAATTTAATTTTCAACAGAACTGTTTTGGTTAAAAAATGTTGATTTCCTTAGCTTCACAAAACGTTTATAATTAATACAAAACCGAATTAGCAATTAAATGTATCTAGTGATTCAACTGTTAAATTTCATTGGCATAACACACTGATCTCGCATTCAAATTATAAAAAACATGTTTCATTTTCATAAGATTTTTAATACATTTTCAAAGACTAATTAGTTATAGCAGCTAAAAAATCAATTTTAACTTCAATGCAAAGCTAAGAAAATATTAATTTTACCATGATATGTTTATTTTTTTTTTGTGTCTGTCACTACTTTTTCTTAGCTCTCACTGGACTGATTTTTCTCAACGATACGTCAAAAAATCACAAATTGTATATAGTTTTTTTTATATTGAAATCTCAAATATTTCCCTTTCATTTGATATCATTTTTTTGAAAATCTGACCGTTTTTCTATCTACAAGAAGGGATTCAAAATAGCAACTTTTTTACAAAACTCAACTTTTAAAAATTTTTCAGAAATACTGCGTCCTTAAAAGATATGTCAAATTAAAGCTTATGTTATGTATGTACTATAATATAAAAAAAAATTTTTGTTTTGGAATAATCCACTAATTTTTTTAGAATTAAACACTATCTACAAATTTGCATTGAAGCGTTTCTTATGATAATGATTTTAATCTCTGTCAGATATCATGTATACTTGTCCCAAATCCATAATGTGCCACAATCCCATTGTGCTACCATTTTTTCTTTTACATTATCTCTTAAAATTATTTTTCATACTTACAAAAAAAAACTATACAAATCCAGCTAATATTTTAAACTAACTTTAATGTTCTAACTTTTGTTTCCTTGTAAAAATAAAATTTTATTTAAGTTAAGCCTTTGTTCATATTAATAATTAATTATATGATTAAATTTTATTTTATAATGAACCAATAAAACTTTTGTGAATTATAACATATAAATACTTTTAGAAAAATAATAATGGAGTGTGGCTGCCAACATATGTAGTATCTGAATTATTTATGGAGATGTTTAAATTAAAAACTGGACTTGGTGTTGATCCTGCATTCAGGAAATTAGTAGTAGACGCACAAAACCGACAGAAATCTGATATTTCCAAGAAAAACTTTCAACATAAAAAGGGTATTCATTTATAAAAGTTTAATAATAAAATAATTTAAAAGAAAAGCATAGAAATAATAAAAACATTTTTTTTTTTCAGAATCTGATGATCTTATAGTTGAAAGTAAATTCATTAAAATCATAATATTTTTTAAATATTTAGATATCTTGTATACAGTCAGAGAAACTTACCTCTAGAACATAAAAAAAATAAATGTCATATATAAAAATATTTCATGATTATTTTTGTAAAAAATGTAATCAATGTTATTAGATTTTTTGGAGAATAATAAAATAGCCTACTTAACTCTTGTAGATACTAGAATTTGATTCCCATGCACTGAATCATATAGGTTTGCTATTCTTTTTAACACAAGCATAGCTTTTAAAGATTTTAAACATAAAAAGGGTAAATATATTAGACAGGCTTTTTTACTAATCTTTTTTTTTACTATCTTTTTTTACTAATAAAATATCATTTAATTTATAATAAAAAAGATTTCAAATAATTAATTCTTTGTGATTTATATATCTATTTTTTTGTAGTATAAATTTTTATATTTTAAATTATTTTTTAAATGTAATAAAAAAAAAAAAAAAAATAGGAGAAACAAGTAATTTTGACAAGGTATTATTGAATTTAGTTTATACTTAAATAATTATAATACCACTTATAATTTTAAAAAATTAATTTTTTTTTTGTAGACAATAATGAAGACTTTGATGAAAAATTGTTGAATGGTGGTAATGTTTCATATAGATAACTATTTTAAATTATTTCTAATTTATTTTATATCTAAAAATATAGGTGGTTTTGGTGGTTTTGATGATGTAATCTATCATGAAGGTATATTTTTTAATATAGAACCAGAAGTAGAAAGGCTAGAAGTAATAGAAAATTTTCAAACTTATAAAAAAAATGTGGAGGATATGAAAAAACACGAACAAAACCAAATTGATTTAGTATATACTTATTTTATCAATTGCTATACTATTACTATTATTTTCAACATAACATACTTTTTATTTTAGATGGATGAACAATTAAAAATGTGTAATCGTGTGCAAGCATGGCATGAAATTTTATGGCCAATATTGGAAAATGAAGAAAGAAAAACACCATTTAATGTACATGATTATGGAACCAAAATATTAAACTGTTTCAACAGTAAGGGTGAAAAAAAGTCATTTGAACAATTAGTGTCAGGTTTAAAACAAGAGGAAGTTGCTAGATATTTCTTATCTACTTTAATGCTGGTAAAATATAATTTTGTTTTAAATTTTTTTGAACACTGTCTGACATTTCTAACATTTTGTTAAAAATAGAGGTGCTTACATAAAAATATGATGATTAGGATAATTTTAAGCAGCATACTTAGTTCAGTGAATAACATGTTTGTCCTTGGGTATATTAGTACCAGGGTTTAATTCTGCTATAGTAGGATACGTAGGGTATCCATCCTCTTTAGCATAAGTATTAGCTAAAACTAATGTTTGTATAGTCATTAAACCAACAGTGTGTTCGACCAAATTATTTATTTACTATAACAATAATAGAGGTTGACTGTAGACTTTAATAGTTTTATATAAATAAAATTGAAATTAATACAATCAAAACAAAATAGTAATAATTAAAATATAAAATAATTAGAAGTTATATGAGTGAACATAAGTCTTATTAATAGTCTTATAAGTCTTATTACTCTTCTTCTTCCTCGCCTTATCCCAACTACTTGAGATGGGCCACCCTTATTCTAAACTTCCACTTGACACAATCTCCCACATCATCTACGCTCACATAAGCTGTCCTCATATCTGCCGTGCTAAGCGAAAACAGGATACTCCAGTCAACATGATTTTTCAGGATCACAAAAAAACATTTTTAACAGTAAATCAAGATACCCTTTTTTCCCAATGTATGAACATAAGTAAAAAGATGGTAACTCCATTATTTTTTATGTGATATACCAAGTTTTTGCTTAGTATTTGGATTTACCGTGTTTTCGCTTACAAAATATCAAATAAATTGAACTTACTGTATATTTTCTTATTTTATATTTCAATTTTAGATGGGTTTTAATAGGAAATATGCTACTTTTACATCAAAAATCGGTGTAAAACCACTAAATTTACCTATAGAAACAAAAAAAAAAAATTTTTTAATTTTGGAGTTATCCTGTTTTTGCTTAGCACGGCAGATATATATTCAATAGCATCTCTCCATTTCTTTTTTGGTCTTTCTTTACCTTTTCTTGCTTCAATATTCATTTCCATAATTTTTCTTATTCCTCTCTCCTCATAACTTGACCAAACTATCATGTCTCTCATCTTATCCACGAATGATGCTACACCTATACGCTCTCTTATTTGTTAGTTCCTTATCCTATTATCTCTAGTCACTCCACTCATCCATCTAAGTATTCTTATCTCTGATACACTCATTCTCTGCTCTACTTTCTTATCAATCGCACAACACTCTGAACCATACATCATAGCTGGCCTCACTAAAGTCTTGTAGAATTTACTTTTCTGCCTCATTGGAATTCTTTTATCGCATAAGACGCCAGACGCTTCTTTCCATTTCAATCACCCTCACTTAATCCTGTGTCTTACATCCTCGTCAATACCACCGCTCTTTTGCACAACTGACCCTAAATACTTAAAACTTTCCACCTCTTCAATCACGTCCTCGCCTATTGTCACTGATCTCCTCATTTCACCTACCTCGTGTTCTTCTTTGTCAAACTCGTACTCTATATACTCTATCTTACTTCTACTTATTCTTAAATCCTTTTCTTCAAGAGCTGATTTTCACACCTCTAGCCTTTGATTAATTTCCTCTCTATTTTCTCCTATTAACACTATATTGTCAGCAAAGAACATACACCACGGCACTTCTCCTTGTATTTCTCTAGTAATTTCATCCATCACTATAGATGAATAATTAAGGGCTTAAAGCACTCCTACTCTTACCCGAAAACATTCTGTTACTCCTACGCTTTTTACCCTGGTACAAGTGCCATCATACATATCTTCTATTATATTAATGTACTTTTTCGGGACTCCTATTCTCATTAATGCCCACTTTAAAACCTCTCTCGGTACTCTATCATACGCTTTCTCCAAATCTATAAATACCATACACAGCTTTTTTTTCTTTTCCCTAAACTTTTCTATTAGTTGCTTCACACAAAATAATGGCTCCATTGATGACTTAACAGGTATAATTCCAAACTGGTTTTTAGATACCTAAGTTTCATTTTTTATTCCCTTATCTATTACCTTTTCCCAAATTTTCACAGTATGGATCATATTCTTTATGCCTCTATAATTCCCACACTCCTGTATGACTCCTTTACCTTTAAATATCGGCACCACAATACTATTCCTTCATTCATTTGGAGTTTTCCCTACTTATATGATCTTATTTAAAAGTTCCTTCAACCACCTTATGCTAACACCGCCTAATATTTTCCATACTTCTACTGGCACTTCATCTGGTCCTACTGCTTTATTCTTTTTCATTGATGCCACAGCCTCCCATACTTATTTCTCACTAATTAAATCTACCAGCCCCTCATTCCACGATATATCTTATAATCAAAGGTGTAAAGCATTTGAGTAAATGTATTTGAATAAAAGTATTCAAATACTTTCATTGGTATTGAATAGTATTTTTCTATCGAAACTAAAAACATCGAACTAAAAAGTTAAAAATAATTTTTATAATAAGCTTAAAATAATTATGAACAAAAAATACTAATATTATTGTTATAAAAGCGTGGGTGCTTTGTGCCATATTTTTCGTATATTGAGTGCCCGACGCTTTTATCACAATAATACTAGTATTTTTTGTTCATAATTATTTTAAAAATTATTTTTAACTTTTTTGTTTGATGTGCTTTAAAAGCGTGTTTTTTTAAACTATATTTATTTTTAAGGTATTAATAGAAATAAAAAATGTTAACATTAAATAAATTTAAAGAATTAAAATTTTAAAAATTAATGAGAAAATTCTTAAAGAAAAAACCTAATTTTCTCTTTCGAAACAAAACTTGTTGGTCTAGTAAAATTATTATGTTGAAATTGATAACTTTAGACACCATAATTACTAAAATTAAGTATAAGTTGTCATTTAAGCAATTTGGCATAATTAATACTTTCCTAATTTGTGTTAGATTCTTGAAAGGTATATGAAAGATTAAAAAAAATTGTTTAAATGATATTCTAAAAATAAATTAATAAGCTCATTAATGATCATTTATATATATTTAATTTTTTGGCCTGTATTGTATATTCTTTGGAAAATTGGCTCATAATTTCCTTGTATGTTTAAAATAATATTAGTTTAAGTTTAAAATAAAGTTTGATATATCATAAATTATTTCATTAACTGTTTTACAATATTAATAAAATTGTGTAAAATATTTTAAATCAATATATTTTACAGTAAAATATTTGTGAAAACTTTAATATGTGTACTTATAAAAATTAACATTCTGCATATAGACTTTTTGTCTGTAGAATGACTTAATTATTATTTGAATACAAAAAATGCAAAGGTATTAAAATATCTTTTTTACATATTTACATAAAATATTAATTTTTTTTTTTCATCGTATCATATTATTTATTGTGTAAAATTTTTAATTTTCAGGCAAATACATATAATTTACATATAACTAAACAAACTCATGATCCATTAAATATTGGCATAATGGACATAGAACTATTAAAAAAAGAAAGACACCATGAAGAACTTCAAAATAGTGTTCAGACTAATTTTAGTTATTAAGTTCCTATAAAGATTAGTTTTATTACTTTGTTAAATTTTAAACAAAATAAAATTTTTTGTTTTTTATTTTATAAGCCAACTAGCATTATTAGCATTATTTATTTTTAAAAAAGTGCTTTAGTATGAAATTTTGTGTGTATAGTGATAGATTAAAAGCTTTTTCCCAGAATAACATTTTAGAAAAAGTTTTTTCGGCTTTGTTGAGTTTTATGTACAGAGTGATTCACTAATCATAAAACACTTAATAAAAAAACAATAATACTATTAATTTTTTATTTGTATCTTTTAGTTTATTTTTTATCCCAAAAAACTTTACAAATTTACCTCTTATACCTTAAAAGGGAGTGTCAGCTTTAATTTTTGAAATGGCAATACGCCTAATTAACTAGCTTATTTAATAAATAATGATCCAATTAAAAAAATGGTCAGTTATTGAAATTATAGATATATTTAAAGTAATGATTAGAGATGAAGAGTGTATGCTGTTATTTTTATTACATATCTGGCTATTCTCTTCTTTCTACCTAGATATAAAAATTAGAATAACTACTAAAGTACTAGTTCAAAAGTTATTTTCGACCAGTCATTTCATTAATTTAATCATTATCTAATAAATAAACTAGTTAATTATCTGTTCCCATTACATTAATTTCACATTAATAATGTGTTATCTCTATAAGTTATAAGGGAAATTTTTAGGAGAAATTTAGTGGTCAACGCTAAACTAATAATTTTGTATATATTATCTTTTCACCTTAATTACTTACATGTCACTGAAATATTTGACATTTGATGATTAAAGGACAACATTTAGTTGCTATATTTTTTTATGTTGTTTACTGTACCTATAAAATTTGTATTAGTTTTTAAGGTAATTTAATAAGATTTTAATTTTACAAGGATGTCTTTATTTTGAGTTTGTCCATTTAAATTCACTACCAACTTTAACTTTTCCGCAATCAAGATTATATAAAAAAAAGTTTTATTGAATAAATTAATAAAATTTTGTAGAAAACTTATATTATTAATACAAGTTTATAATTTTTGAATAATTAGTACCATTAATATAATTAAATCAAATTAATTTTCTAATTTAAATAATTAAAACCCATTAGTTTATATAAAAGCCTCTCATTATGTTATAACATTAATAATGAGAATTATTAACTAATTAAATTAATATTATTAATAGAATGTATAGGTTAAAAAAAAACTGAATCTCTAAATTTTTATAATTAAAAAATCAAAATAAAATTTTCATTAGTTATACTTAAAAAAAAACCTTTTTTTAGAAATAAAATAAAAAACCTTATTACAGAAAGTTTTAATATTAACCAACAAAAGTAATTTTCTTTTAATATTTTAAAATAATATTGAACGTTGTATTCTTTAAAAATTAATTTAAAAGATAAAAATAAGGTTCAGGCAAATTTATTTTCTAGTTAAAATTGACTACTAAAGCTGAAAAAAAATCTACAACTAAGTCACCATCATATATATGTGCTCATACCTCATATCGCTGTACTGTTTACTAGGTTTACAACATTGATTTAGTGACACACATATTATTACAGAAGGGTATTACACGTATTACTACAGGAGACTACACACATAAACACTTAGCGTTCACAATATGACTGTTTCAAACGCCAGTTAACTTTTTACCATTATCGCAACTATTATTCTTATTCTCTAAGACATCACTTAAATTAGTTACGACTAAGATAGTGTATGTGCGCACAATGGACCAACAGGTCTGAGTGCATGAGCATTATGTCCACCTCGATAATAACTAAGATAGCGAGTGTAACACCGTCAGATTCTTTGAATTATAATTATCTCTAGGTAACCAGCAGGTTGTATTGCTTATTTAATACTTTGTTACTCAATAAATATATATATTGTTGTTAACCAAGAGTTTATATATATATTATTGTAATGTGATCCTTTGTAGTTCCTCTAAGGAAATATAAATTAAATAAGAAACCTCAGTACCTAAGGTAAACATAATCTAGCCAACTTAGAATACTTTTAATGGTCATTCAGACTCAATCCTTACATAGTGATGTAACAGTCCTTTAATATAAAATTATTGTGTAAGGATTATATATCCCATGTTAAACATTCCTCAAATTAGAAATATTAAACTTTTATAAGCACAATTGTATCAAGGTGTATTTTATAATTTTTTTGGAATTATTAACTTTTATTATAAATTTACAGGCTTTTATGAGACTATCTTCTATAAAATTAAAACCATATGACAATATTAAAATATATCTTTTATAATTAAGGGAACCAAATAATCCTTAAACATGCGTCTAAAATATTTTTAATTAAACTATTTAAAAATAGGTGTGAATCAATGTTTAATAAAATGTAGAGTAATACTAAATATCAAAAATATATGTTAGAGGGGAATAGAATCTATTAAATTTCTAAATCGAGCAATATCTGAAGAATCATAAACACAGCATCCTCCAAATATTTTGAGACCTTTACTTTTCCATAATATAATATCATCTAGATTAATTTGATATGCTTTTGAATTGTCCCACCTAAAAATTAAATATTTAAGCAAAAGCAATAATATATAGTTTATTTTAATTGATACTTTTTGTTTTGAATGTCCCAAGTACCACCACCATTTGGATAAACAATTAAAGGAACATTTTCAGTCTTAACAGACAGTAACAGAGAAGTAATATTACTAGCTGATACACAATTGCAACCTATGGCTACGAGTTGTTTTTGATTTTGATAGGCCCAACATGTTTCCACAGCACTTGAAAATGTTTCACCATGACTTATATGAAGTTCGTCCTTTTAATAGACAAGATATTTACTTTTATTATTTATATTATATTTAAATTAAAAAAAAATTATTTACTCTACAAGAAAATGATAAGCATGCTTTTTGATCTGGAAAACTGGAGAGCAATTTTAATAAAATTTTAGCTTCTCTGATAGAAGGAATAGTTTCAAAAAGAATATAATCTACTCCTTCTTCAATTAATGCTTGAATTCGAGGTTTATGCCAATCTAATAATTCTTGTGTACTCATTGAATCTATATAATTCCCGCTATATTCTGAGCCATCACACTTTGAAGCCCCGAATGGCCCAACAGAACCCATTACTTTAACATACTTTCCTAAAATGTATGAAGCACATTATTTCTATGTTTTATAAGCTTTATATGAATGGAAAATACTAACCTAAGCCTTCTACTTGTATGGCTTTTTTACATAATTTGACAGATTTTTTCAAAAGTTCATAACTTTCACAATAGTTCAAACCTAAGAACTTTTGAAACCCATTAATACTTGCTTGATAAGTATTTGTTGTAATCATATCTACTCCAGCTAAATAAGTATGTATAGATTACAAGTTTCGAACATTTATTATTGAAAGAAAGTTAAAGATTACAGGTGTATCTACAAGGATGACTTGTTAAAAAAGGTATTTCTCTTTTGTGAACTATATGTTTTTGATCAAAATTTAAGACTAATAAGAAAATATAGATAACATTTTCTTTAACTAAACCAGTTATTTAATATTTGCTAAAATAACCAGAAATAATCATATTACTATATAAATACAGTGCCCCTTAAAACATTACATGGTCATGACTACGCTTAACATAACTTTTACCTTTGATATAATCTCTGTGGCAGTTGTACACGGCTTCTTCGTCTAAATTAAGTAACTGGGAGCCCCAAAGTGGATGTTTTACTAAACTCTCAAAGTCAACATAAGGCTTAACTCCGCTGGTAAAACTGCCATCTAGTAAATATATATTTTTTTGTTCCATTATATGATGTTTCTCTTTTAATGAAGAAACTTTAGTGCCAAATAGATAGTTATAAACTTTCTAATGATAAGACTGAATATGAGACAGAATGAGTTATCATAATTAAAGGTATTTTCTCCCACCTAAGACATAAGTAAATTATAATTAATTTAAGACGTCTAGGTACCGACCGTTTGTGCATAAAAAACATCCCGTTTGTGTAGAATAACAAAACTACTGATGCGATTAGAGTTCTGAAAACTGATTTGAATTCAGCATCTTGTAACTTTAGGTCTGCCCACTTTTTTGAAATTATAATTCTTTGACTCTTAAGTACAGGTTACATTTTTTCAAAATAAATTTTTGCGTTGAACTAATTACAATTTCAAAAAAATGGTTACTTAATACTTCAGTAACATGATACAGAATTTAGATCTATTTTCAGAATTCTTATGATATCAGTAGTTTTGTTATTACATATAATATCACACTGGTATAGATTAAATTTAATGGAATACTAAAAATTTTTCGTATAATAGTACAATGGAAAAACATCCCTCAAATTGTATTTTTGTATTGTATTGTTGGGTTGTATATTTACAATATAAAGTTTCAGGTAAAAGTTAAAATTTTAGTACCAGGAATACATAAGAATTATTAAAGATAATTATTTTGTAAATTGTTTATGGCAACTTGAATAATCGCCAGCGAGATACAGTTCAAAATCTTCATATACATTTAATTCTTATAAATTCCTAGTACTAAATTTTGATATTTTTAGTACAATCTTGATACATGTTTAATTTAAAATATTAAAATGTAACTTGTTGTGCAATACTTCATGAATTCCTGATCTCAAATAAAATTGTATACATACAAATTTAAAATGTATTCATTAATTTTAAATTTTGTGTCACTGTTATCTATAAACTTGCAAAGGTAAGAAAGAAAAGGTCTAAAGATTATCATTATATAAGGTGTATAAAGTGTTGATAATAAGGTACTCTCGAGTGATGATGATGTGAAAAAAAGGTGGAAAGAGTATTTTGAAAAATTACTGAATGAGGAGTACCCAAGACACATTATAAGCATAGTTGTAAGAAATACTTCTAAAAAGTATTTTAAATAATATTCAAATATTTTAAAAAAAATGTATTTAAAATACTATTTGAATATTTTTCAAACAAAAGTATTTGAGTAATACTCAATTACTTTACAAAAGTATTTCAAATACTAAGAATACAATTAAAAAATAATAATAATATTTTTATTTTAACTAAGAGCAAAAGGTTCCACCTAAATAATTACCAAGAGGGTAATTTGAGTCAAATATTGAGTACTCTTAAATTAAGAGAACTCATTTATTATTTTCGATATTTTATGTTAGAGGTAAATAAAATTAATTATTGTAGACTAATCAGTGAAAAAAATAAATATTAGTACATGTGTAAAAACCTGTAAAGTATGTCTTATTGACAATAGAGTAAATCATTTGAACCTGCAATAGGCTATTGTAGGTTCAACTGATGTATTAAAAATAGATGTATACATAATAGCATTTAGATAAGCACAATAATTATGTTATACTATAATGTAACATATAAAATAACAGAGAATTATTCTCAATTTTCATTTTGACTGAGTTTAATTTGCTTGCTGTGTTACG